CAACTGACTTTAAGTCTTCGACATGTTAAAGATCCCCGCTCTCCGTCCCCGTGAATACTCCCAAATCTCACGCCCAAAGAAGAACGTCACCCGCGCCTATGGTGGCTCGCGCTGTGGCAACTGTGTCAAGGACCGCATCGTCCGCGCTTTCTTGATCGAGGAGCAGAAGATCGTCAAGAAGGTCCTCAAGGAATCGCAAGAGAAGGCCGCCACTTCGTCGAAGAAGCGATAGATTACTTGCCTTGTGGAAGGTGGACGTGTAGGAGCGGGTATACCAGGATGATGAAGTGATACTTGAACAAACGGGAATGGAAGTTCCATCACTACCGGAGTTTGGGGCGGGAATACCATCTCTATTATCGGTGGGAATCCCCAAAATGGAAAGAATATAATCATGAAATGCATTATCAGCCTGTGCTTTTTTTTAGTGTACGGCAAGACTTTTCAAAGTCATACTTTCTCCCACCTGGTGTGATGTTGTTTGGGATATTCTCGTCTTTCGCCCGTGCTGTCCTTGACCCAGCAACTATTAATGACAAGAAACGTCCTAAAAGTACTAATTGCCCTATCACCACGAATGGCGCGATCAGTCGCATCTACCGAGTTCTGTAGAAACGTAGAAACTCGAAACCTTCCACGCTTCTTTCGGATGGAGGCAATTGACAGTCTATACTTCTCTACTTATAAATTCTCAATCCGTATGCCTTCACATCATCAGGCTCCAATTTAACTTGTAAGCCGCTACATGTATACTCCGAACCGAGCTTAGATACCCAAAAATGCTTCCCTGCTGCAGATTCTATTGAGAAAAACTATGCTTTTTTCTATTCTTCGTTGAGACATTATGATGAGATATAAGACTTGGGGGATTTACGTAGTATAAATCTGGAGAAAGTGCATTGTCAACAATGTGATCTTCGATTGCCTGCACATTAAATCATATCGCAAGTAGAACAGGTAAACCTACTATCAGGAGTTCCTGCCCCTTGAAATAAACCCAAATGGCCCTTACTCCGCCCTAGAACTTTCTCTTTTTCTTTGCGGGTTTACTCTGGCCCTTATCTCCCATCTCCAACTGACGCCGTAATTCCTGTCGTTTCCTATCTGCCTTTTCTTCTGGAGATTCCTCTTTGTCTGACTTCTGCTCCTCATCCTGTTGGCCTGTAGACCTAGAACTAGCTGGCAATGGAAGGGTTGGTTTTGTTGATTCTTGTCCTTCATTCATCACTTTACCAGCTCCATGATCACTACCGCCTTCAGAACCATGAAAAAACGCAGTGCTAGAGGATACATTTCTTTCTTGGGTCTTGGCTGATTTCTGAGAATCTTTCGCTCCACCAATTGTACCAAGTTTACCGCTTCGTTTGTGTGGCTTAGGGGCTGCCACTGATTGCTCATGACGTCCAGGTGACAAATTTGGTTCCCGTTGTTTGCTTCTATTGTTCGCTTGATTCCTATTTTCGTCTTCATTTTCATTTTCTTCAGCATCATCCGTTGTGTTTCCAGAGCTTGCTGCGGGGATAGATTCTTTCCCATGCACTTTGTGGCCCGATATATCTTTCTGTTTTTTACCACCAATTTGCCCGAGCCCACCGCGTGTACGTAAGGCTGCCTGTCTGTGGTTTTGTGCTTGCTGGGTTCGTGTATTGTCGCCTTGAACATCCGCAGGTTTTTGTTGGGGTAGATTCTGTCTCTTTTGTTTGCTAGCTTCATTATTACCGTCATCGCCATCACTACTATCACTCTCAATCTCTGAGGCCGTAGGCTGATCGTCTTCGTTAGACAGTGTGTGGGGTTTAAGGGCGGCCTTTTCTTCAAACACCGCTAGACTAGGTTCTTCTTGGTTCAAAGGCATTTTTGGCTTTTTCCCACCAATAGTACCAAGTGCCTTTGGTTTTTCTCTCGGATGCGAGGGCGCTTCTGATGCGTCAGACGTAGTTGAGTCGTATGAATTCTGGTGGGAACGTTTTTGCTCTTTCCGTTTTCCTATTGAGCTAAGGATTGTCGATCCTCCTGATATTTGAGGTGACTTCCTACGCCCTTTTTCGTGTTGCATTGGGAGGCGTACCTCAATATCAGACTTGTCCTGGCTCATGCTCGGTGATGGGCTTCCCTCAGTTCCCCTAAGGCCTGGAGGCGTTTCTTGTCTCTGTTGTCACAGGTTAGCACCAGTACATGTCAAAATCAAGTAGAACAGAGTCGATATACTTGAAATTCATCTTCACTTTCCATAGTGCCCTTCTCTGTACCTCTTTCGATATCGTCGTGTGGAGCCTTCTTCTCGGTATGTTGAGCGGCACATGATGATGATGATGTAGGATGATTCCACCATTCGTTTTCTATACGCTCTATATTGCGTGGTTCAAATAGGTCCTCGTCATACAAACATTTCCCCAAAGAATTTAATCCAAAGTTACTTGGGCCACGATCCAAGTGCAAATTTTCCCAGGAAGTTTTGTCGAAGGGACTCACTCCTTTGACTAGTTTCGAGGCTTGTGAAAACAGTGAGTCTCTCTTTTGGCCTAATCGTATGTTGGCCATATTAGGAAAGACAGTGCTCAAATCAATACCCGAGGATTCTATCTTGTCAAGAAGCTTTCCAATTATTTTATCTTTCTCTTTTAGAAGTTCATAGAGAGAATTCTGACGATCTTCGTTCCTGAGCCCATTCTGTAAAGCTGGTAACAACAAATGTTGTGTTAGCACAGACGGAGAGCTTCGGGACAAGTTTAACGCCCACTCTAAGGGCTCCAATGGTTTTGGTAACTTTGTAGTTGTAACTAGTTTGAAACTGGACCCAGTGCTGTTACCAGCAAGACACATTGCCGTGCCTTTAGATCCATGCAGCGCATCACCGATCTTCTGGAGCAACACTGAATATTGCTCCCCATCTTGGCTAGGGTCAATGCTTGTCTCGTCTTTTGAGGCACGGTTGATAATTTGTTTATGGCTCAAGTTCTCCGACCAAATATGAGCCAGGTCGGTTAGAAAGACTTCATATCCACTGGGGCTTGGTTCATAGCTGAATAGAAGAGGTGGGTATGATTTGTTATAAAGTGGCAACCGTTCCCAGTTTCGAGGCATTTTGACAAAAATTCAAGACTTCACCATAATACTAGAAGGCAAAACATTTATGTTGAAAGTTATTGGGCCTTGTAGGCAGCAATGTTGTGAACCAATAATTCTCTGGAAACGTTCAAATGGTTTTAGCTAAAGTTAGCTGCTGAAAGAAGAAAGTATGCCGAGCTCGGCAAAGCTGCCGTTTTAATATTTGCTTGACCTCAACCTCCAACTTCGAATTCAACCTTCAAAGATCAAGAACCAAATCTCCAAGCATAAGAAGAGATCATCCAAAACCAGTACTTCCCCTCTTCTTCTTCTATAAAAATGTCCTGGGACCCCAGGGATCGATACAATAGCAAGAGGGCTCGCTCTCGCTCTCCGCCTCCCCAGGCACCACCGGATAAATTGCGGCATATCGATGGCCAATATCGAAGTAGGGTCCAAGGAAGTGGGAATCGAGGCGCCTGGAACATGAAGGAACAAACTCGAGTTAATCAGCTACAAGAGGATGAAAAGATGCGCGAATGGGTTGCCCAGGAAGACACATTTGTGCTCAGACAAGCGAAAAAGAAGGCAGAATTACGAGTCAAAGATGGACGCGCAAAACCTATCGACTGGCTTACAATTACTCTTCGGGTTATTGACCCGACTAGGAATCCTTTGGATGACGAGATTGCGGACTCGGAGTTGGACCTTGTTGAACCAGAAGGTGTTTTTGAAGGATTGTCAAACGGACAGTTGTTAAACCTTGAGAAGGACATTGATACCTTCTTATCTCTTGAAACCAGTCTCGAGAATCGTGACTATTGGAAGGTATGCCACATAACCTAAAGCTATAGACCCCTCCTATTTTATACTAACTTTTTGCAGACAATGAAAGTAATATGTCAGGATCAAATTCAGAAAGCAGAATCCTCTGCACCAGAGAAGCGTGCTGTTACTTCAGTAGCAGCTGACATTGACAGACTGCTTAGCCCCAAAACCTACGATGAGCTTGTCGCCTTAGAGAAACAAATACGTCGAAAATTAGATTCTAACGAGCCGATTGATACCGATTATTGGGAGCAACTCTTAAAAAGCCTCTCAGTGTGGAAAGCGCGTGCAAAACTAAAACGAGTTTATAGTGCCGTGATCAAAAATCGCGTTAATGAGCTGCGGAAACAGCAGCGGGAGGAGGCTGAGAGTGTTCAGAAAAAGCTCGCTCCTCTAGCCCCCTTAAGGGATTCACAGTTCGCCCAACAGGAATCCGAACAAATAACTCTACTTGACCCTGAACCTCTTCTTCAGCTACGAGCTCAAGACAAGAATTTAGAAATTATGGACGAAGAAGAGTTGCTAAGCCATATCGTATGCTTCCTTGTGATACCTAATGTCGGCGACGATACTAACCTTCTCCAGGCGCAAGAACGAAAGAAAATTATAAAAATGGGATTCGTCCCGCTACGTAACCGCTTGACTGAGAAACAGGCCCCGTCGGTGATGTTTACAGCAGAGTCTTCGGTCATCCCGTCTTCCGCCCCACGCTTCCTTCCAACAACAAACGATGATTTCTCCCAGGCCACGAAAGCTTTGTACGAAAGAGAGGTGGCACGAGGCGTTAGTGAAAACGAGGAGATATTTGCCGGAGAAGAAACTATCAGCACATCTAAACCAGCATGGGCGAATAAGTATAGACCGCGTAAGCCGCGGTATTTCAATCGTGTGCAAATGGGGTATGAATGGAACAAATACAACCAAACTCACTACGACTACGATGATCCTCCGCCGAAAGTTGTCCAAGGATACAAATTTAACATATTCTACCCCGACCTTATTGATAAGGCAAAAGCTCCAACATATCGTATCGAGAGAGAACACGGCAGGAAAAGAGGACAGTCATTCGCACCCGCCGGAGAGGAAGATACATGTCTACTTCGCTTCATTGCTGGTCCACCATATGAAGACTTAGCATTCCGTATTGTAGATAAGGAATGGGACTACAGTGCAAAACGTGAAAGGGGATTTAAGAGTACGTTTGACAAGGTACGTGTTGAATTCGGATATTGTTCGTGGCTTAGAGCTGCCATGTACCAGGTAAAGTTAGCTAACTCACATTCAGGGCATCCTACAACTTCACTTCCAATTTAAGAAGGTATGTATAACCTCATGATGGTCCCAAACTCATATTTACAGAGGCTTACATTATTGTAGATATATTACCGCAAGTGATATTGATGGCATGGATTTGGAGGCCGGTCCTTCTCCACCTTGCATTTAAGAGTACAGGCTGTTATTCACACCTACACTACATGGGCAAGTGAGGGCGGCGTACTCTATGATAATCCCCAGGTTCCAATAAGTTTGGGCGACACTCGTGACACTAAGCATTTCAATACTTAGGCATTTAATAGTTTTGCTACCTCCAAATTTAAAAATGTTCTGACGTGAAATTTTCACTTCAACCTGCAAATACTCCCGCATGGTCGTTCGACCGTTGGTACTGGTTGTTAGTCTATAGCCGCAGGTCAACCGCGCCAGGTTAATTAATTCTTTAAACTGACCATCGCATTAGGAGGACCGTTCCAAGCCTGCGTTTGAAAGCTTCCTTTGTACCCAAGCCGGCTAGGGATGAAATTTCTAGGGCCCCATTATTTAGCCATCCTATTGGACATGCATCTCAAGAAGGCCTCCACTGATTTTAATTGGAGGTTTGAAGCCGCCTCACCGGACCTTGCGCTGTGAGACCTTCCAGAAGATCCCATCTGGTGCGTTTTGCTGAAACCCAGCCACCTTGAGCTAGACCGTTCTGCGGGATGTAGCTCATGACAGGTTTATGTTCTCCTGCAGCTCCCCGTCTGTGCCCAACCAGCATGACTAGTTCTGAAGCTAGCCTGCTTGACACATTTTCCCAATGTGTTCCCCGTCCCGTCAGGCTACTATTGTAGAACTTGGGGGTCTTTAGCACCCTTGGTTAATAATCGGTTTTATATACCGCCAAAGATTGCTGTTCCACAAAGGCATTCATTTTCAGACAGGGCAATATCAGCATACAAAAGCCCTCTCATTTACTCAACATTTATGCTGCTTTGTTTGCTCATTTTCGACAACAGTTCTACGGGTTGTCTGCAGCAATCGTGTCGCGCAGGTGAGCTGGCATGTTCTCCCACGGGACTCAACCATCTTGCAGGAAGATATATGAAATTTGCTCAGAGAAGCCCCAGTTACTTCTCTCGACATTCCCATACTCTTGTCTCACGGATCTCTTTCTGAAAAGCCGACCTCAACCTAGATTCTGAACCTTCTTTCTCCACAAGAATTAACGTTGTCTAAAACATATTGGATGGAGCTCGTTTCCCCATAACCTCGGGAAAGTTGAAAAAATATGGACGATGACACGGGCATCCTCTGCCCTGCCATTTGCATGCAGATGCATCATAGCGACTCTTCTTCCTTTACCGCTCCGCAGGGCGCTGAGATATCTCAAGAGCAACAACCTCCGCTTTCTACAGCTGCCTCACTACACCAGCATAGGCGCTTAGTTTCGCACCCTTCTATACTACAGCAGATACTTGATCCGAACCTCTTTGAGAATACTATCCCACAACAGCGACCACTCTCATCTACGGCCTATAGTCAAGATAGTTGGGGCTCGATTATGGAGCCAAACAATTTCTGCAGCCCAGACACAATGATGTACGATATGCTAGAGAATAGGCAGGGCGGGCTACCATGGGAAGGTGAAACTCCTGTATCTACCGACCTGGAGTTTGATTTCTTTACCTCTACCTATCCTCTACTTGATGAGTTCAGCGAGCTTGAATGCCTTGGATACCAGACCTCCAAGCAGCCGAATACATCTACACTTTCTCAGGCAAATACTAGCCGGATACTGGAAAGTCATTATTCAAACTCAGGGCCTAGTTGCTCCCGACCATCATTTGATAGCTCCACTTCTCGGCCGGAAAGCACCAATTACCCTCCTCTCTCACCAGAAAACTCTATTGAATCTAGTTCACCAGTTGAACTCCATGTCCTCTATGGCTCGGATTCGATTGCACGTTCCGTACCAGAGCCAGGAAATCTAGCATCTGACGACGAGACAGACGACGATAGCGTCTCTTCTGAAGAGCCCTACGCAAGGTTAATTTGGAGGGCGCTCATGTCTGCCCCCGGCCATAAAATGGTACTTAAGGAAATATACGAATGGTTTGAAAAGAATACAAGCAAAGCCAAAAACTCTGATTCCAAAGGGTGGCAGAACAGCATTCGCCATAATCTCTCCATGAATGCGGTAAGCTAGTGAGATTAACTCCAAGCTATCTATTATACTTGATCCACTAACATTTTGTCTCCAAACACTAGGCATTTGAAGGTGTCAAAGAGGTCTTATCACCAGGAGCGCAAACCCGAAAATCTGGTAACGCCTGGGTTCTCACCGAACGTGCTATTAGACATGGAGTACAGTCTACTACCCGATACCGCAAACCAGGAGTTCACAAGAAATCCCAAAAATCAGATCATCCAGCCCCCCAAAGGCAAAAGTCAGGAGCTAGGGGAGGTCGTGCCGCCAAAAAAGCCGCCAAATACAGACGCGCCATCCAAGAGTCTCAGAGGCTAGACAGAAACTCTCAAAATGCGCCTCTTAGTGATATACCCTTCAATCGCTACGACCTTCTTGCTCAAACCACAAGCTGCGTTGAATATGGGCCTGCGGACCCAGTGAACAACTACGTGTTAAGCGATTATGGGCTCGGTAGCCTCTTGGGTTGCAACGAACTCATACCACGATCACCCTTATTTTACCCTGACTTGGATCTGGATAGGAACCAACCACTCTCTGGGGCTACTGTCTTGGGAGGCCAGCCAATCGGTCGAGATTTTAATCCCCTTCTGCAGTAAACTTTGATGCTTCGTTTGTGGATACATATTCCTCCCCGTTTTCTATCATTTCTTTTTTTTCTAACCGTTACTTTGAACATTACGCCAGGGCACCAGCGTGCCGTGTCCCTGTAAACGGGATTTTTTTTTTTTTTCTTCTTTGCTTGTTTTCTTATTCTATTTACGAGACCCCTCCATACCGCTCTAGCGGCTTACTCCCCGACAGGTTTCTTTTCTTTTCTTTTCTCTTACCTTTCAACCGGGACACATAGGTACTGCTGGCGCATAGGTTCGTTAAGTGTGTTTCGGCTACTCATATGTTTCGATTTCCACCCATTTTTGAGCCGGCGAGCTTCATGTGGGGTTTTTTTCCTTGGGTGCATGAGGCAGGATGGGCAAGTAAACGGCTGGATCTCCCGTTCGACATATGTACATTAGCAATAAGACGTCAATCATAAGGTAATAGTGACTATCTGGGCCAAGCATGGTTTTTTTGTTACGTTGAGCTATAGAGAGCTAATAAAGACAGAATATGACATGAAAACAGCCGCCTCCATGCGTCCCGATATCACCCTTGCTTGATGCACAGGCGATCAGACCCCTTCAACTGGGCCAATAATGATAATACAGGTTCATATATCACTGATTACTACAAAACTGACCGTATCTAAATAGGAGGAAAAGGAACATATTATTTCCCCTAAACCGAACTCTTCATCCTTCACAAACTTATTCTATTCTCCATGCCTTTGCTAAAGATGGTGTTGAGCTCCGCCCTTTGCATCAAGATGGTCAAAGAAACTAGGGGAGATTATCAACCCTCATTAAAGTCGGCTGGCTATATGCATCCTTGGGCCAAATAGCAATTATTATACAACCCGTTCCATGCATTAGCGTGACAAAAAGGGAGAGTCCAGGTCTCACACCCTTTCTGACAGCCGCAACACAGAAATGTAACACGGAGTACGAAGAATACATCCTGATATTCAGTACTCAATACAAAAAGCTGCAAAATTTATACTACCGTGTGTAGCAGTCACTCGTCGTATCCTTGAGAAACTGCAATAAAGAGGGCATTTAAAACTCGGTTCTATAATTCATGGCAATTCGTCGTATAAAAGACACGTAGTTGAACCGTAAGCATGCCTTCGCTCATTTAATATGACGTGTCCGAAAATCCATTCTCTTTGGCTGACTTCTACTCTGAGTTGCTCGTCTTGCCATTTCTGTGGAAGCGCTATACGATATGGGCTTATTGGGCGGTTTTTTTTTCCCCCAGGCTCCAGCAAGGCAGTTGTTCATCTTTGAGTGGATGCCCCTTATTCCGTACGGGGGTACCCGTCAGCTGGAGAAGTATTTGCTTTTTGTTTCACGCCTTGAAGGAAACCCCGTGCTGTCAACCAGATTTGGATGCAACATACTCTGTGGAGGGACAAAGCATTGGTATAAATTCCGAATCCAATGGGAGGGTGAGGTGCCGCGCCACATTCTTAGCGGGTGGGTAATGATGGTTAAGATGGCTTTGTTTGGCCGGTATGAGAAGTGGAAGCAAATCCACGCCGCATGCAAGAAAAGAGAGGATGTCAATGAAATGCCTGAATTTGATGTTAGATGCAAGTCACTATGACTGGATTTAGTACTCTGTACATGTGCATAGCTACAGTAGTTATACCACGATATATTTGCTCGGAAGCTGTAATATATAATTACGAAACCGACTGCATCGAGCATTCCATCCACGCCGTCTGTTCGTCCAACATGCGTCCTGCACCGCGTCTGTGTACAATACTGGATCATATCTCTTAACTCGCCGAATTACTAGGACGGAGTATGTCTTTTTTAAAACCTGGCATCCGCTGTACGACGTTTGAAGCCTGCGAACGTTTATATTCCCGTGAGAGGGAACACTCCCACCTTATGGGTATGCATGAAATCGTTTGACTTCACGTCACTTTTTTAGGGCCTTACTTGAGTCATCTCTTTGTGGTATACTATTTGTGCAGAGTGTGGCATGTTCGATGATCAAGCAAAGGAGACGATCAGATATGCTTATGTATAGGCTTTTCCCCAATTACTTACTTCCAAGGGATGAACTAGCCGGTGGAGAACATTTTAGCCATGAAGATCGCCTCCAAAGTTCCCGGAACTTTCTATCCCTGTCTTGCACCCATAGTATTATTTATTTAATAGCAACATTATTGCTCGTTAGCTACTAATCTTGCGTTAGGGTAGAACTGTTTGATATTCAGGGATCCTAACGCACATGCTGAAATTCAACCTCGCTTCGTTGCTTCCGCGGAGGGTTTCTTTCCTGTCTCACCTTATCCATGCTTCTCGGAGAATTTGATGCCTGAGCGCAGGCTCACACGGAGGCAGCAAAGGCCCATCAGCAGACTCTGTGCCACGAAACCCAAAAGTCCTGTCTTGCTTCCTACGCTTCTCAGTCTATGCATCCACAGATAGCAGAGAAATGTTGGTATGATAATCGTTGAGTTTTTTTTTTTTTTTTTTTTTTTTTGTGGGGGGGAAGGGGGGGGGTTTTCTGGATATATGGAGCAATAATAAATACCTATAAAGCAAAGCTCGGAAAGCCCTATTACCTTAAACAAGAACATGATAGACCCACGAGACTGCGTCATTTGAACGATCTCCATCACGTACTGTTATTCTTGCACTGTGGAAGTTTATGTTCCTCATCTTCAGCTTCTAGAACCCAGCTGATGATTAATCTTGTGGAATATGGATCATCCAATATCAATAATTCCGGTATAAGTAGTTTCCCGAAGAAATAAAACAACCGAATTTGATCTGTCACTGCTCTCAGGGCCCGATGCTATGCCGGCCAAGCCATGTTTTTATGTCAGACTAAGAACACTCCATATTATCCAAATGCAATGCAGTTACCAAGCATACTAGACTGGTGTCTGTTACGCAATGGTTACCCCCGGAGAAAGCCGCGTTCGAGTGGACGATGTTAAAGGCAAGCATACTTGCTTATCAGAAAAAAAAAAAAGGCTAAAACGTAGGTCTTGCCTCTATATATATTCCATCTCTCACATCTAGGATATGAGCCTATGTAAATCAAGTACAGGCTGTGCTGCCAAACCCCCAGTATCTGAGATTACTTACTATGTTTCGAAATTCAGGGCTTGGGTAACATACAAGTTGATCGAGGGAGGGCATCGCCGACATATTTACCGTGGTAAAATTAATATTCACGCGCCTCCGCTATATTTAGAAGAATAGTTACAGTATGATGGCCATACGGAGTACTTGGTTTGGAAATGTGCTAGCTAAAGCAGTCAAGATAGGGAATAACGTTTCAATCACTCATCTACTCTTAAATCATCTTTAATAAAGCTACCAGGATTTAAGCATCTGACTCGTCAGAAGGACTATCAAAGTCCGTGTTATTAACTTTCCACGTAACGGCCAGCGACAAGAGGAGTAAAATTTCCTGCTCCCAAACTGACGAGGGGCGATCAGAGTAAATAACTGATTTGATAGAGTCTTAGGGAGTGATCCCGTTCCAATAAATTATCATCTTGTAGTATTCAGCCTGGATTGGGAAATACAACCTCAAGTATCAAATAGCTCAGTAGACAAACGAGTTTGGAAGGGATGCGGTTAATTTTGACCCCACAAGGGAGCAACCTTGAATAAGATAGGCGTTTTGTTTTTCCGAGCCGGTAGCTTAGTCAGGAGGTCCAAAGTAGGTAGTTACTATCTGGATAAACGGAGTATGTTTGATAGCACTCGTAGTAAAATAAAATATGTTGGTTATCCAAATCTTAGATATAGAGTACAAAATAGTTATTTGATGATTATATAATAGTCATCGCATATGCCAGATCGGTTACTACACAAGGCAGTAAATGGGAGGAGCGTAAACATCTAGCTTCTTTAAGTTTACAGCTGTAAATGCAAAATTTAATGGTATCGTAACTTCAGCGCTCATGGCCTTCAGAATCCTGCTCACCGGGCGCAACAAGCCTTACTTTCTTCGGTGAGATAATAGCCGATGATCCCGAACCAGCACCAACACCGGAGCCCGACGGATTGCCCTGTCCTGCCGCCAGCCCTGCTTCCCCAGCATTGGGAAGTCCACCACCAAGCATACCTCTTACCCTTTCAACAGCTCGGCTTTCGCCAGCCGTCCAAGAATCTCTCTTGATAAACGTGGAACTCGGTTTGCGTCCATAATAGGCATTTCGCGCTCTCTTGCTAGCTTCTTGCTGAGCGAGGCGGTTCTGTTCTCGACGAGGGCCTGGTCCACAGTCATGAAAGCAGCCAGGGGTGGGACAACCACCTTCGCTTAGGGATATGTCTGTTAACCATGCAGTTAGGCAAGCTGTATGGGCGCCATGCCCGCAGGTCTGGCACCATGACCAGAGGCCCGAGCCGTATAGCCGGGATCCAGGCTGTTCTTGTTGTTGGTGTGCTAAACCATCTTCAAGTGGGCTAATGTTAGTAGAAGAGAGGTCACCAGGGTTATTAGAATCAGGCAGTGAGCTAAGGTTGCTTTTGGCAGCCCATTCCGCGGGTGGGTTCCGGCTGACGCAGATTGTACATGGGGGTTGAGCTGTGTCGCAGCGGTGGCATAGCTTGTTATCCTGTATAGGATTTTCATAAGGTTTGTTACATTCGAAACAAAAAACGTTGATAAATGTATCCTTTTGGGCATAATCATATAGACTTGGGTATGAGGGAACGCAAACAAGTCGAAATTCAGCGGCTTCAACGAACATGCCCTGCCTGAAAAGCTGTTCGTTGAAGGCTTTGAAAATTAGTTCTCTTTCTCCTTGAGGTAGAAGTTCGTCACATGAACTGTAGAGAATGTGCATCTTATGAAGGAGATGGGACGCGGAGAGTATGTCAACAGATGAACTGCTACAGTAATGTTTTATTATTTCTCTCACGATGGTCTGTACGCCCCATGGTGCATCTGAGGTGGACTCCGGGCAGAGTGGGAGAGTGACCGTTGACTCAGTAGGTAGGGATGGATTCCGTGAACCAGCCGGTGATTTCAACCGTGCTGGAGGGCGAGAATATCCAACACGTGATGGTTTCTTAATGGGAGACGACTCTGCCAGGAATGGAAATGGGCTGACAGGCCTCTCAAGATCAATAGTCGCAGACTGTGTAGGTAAATCTTCTAATGACATATCGCTCATCGAGTCGCTGTGGTTCTCCCATCGCCCAGGTCTAGGAGGCGAGCTCCCTTCTAGCTCTGGAATGTTATGTAACGATCCTTCTGTCGCAGCTGGCCATCCACCGCTTTCATAGCGCGAATGAACATTCGTGAGTGAGAAAGATGCCTCGTCAAAGGATTTAGTGCGGTGGGAACTATCCGAGGCTGAAAACATAGGAAAGCTTTCTCCTGAGTCATGCCGTTTGTAGGCAACGGGAATAGCTGGTCTCTCCTGCGCCGCACGTTCCATGGACAAAAGGCGTTTGCGAAAAACCTGATAATTTTGTGGTGCGTCAATGTCTTCATTTCCCTTTTTACTGCCGTCTTCGTCTCCTTCTCCATCATCATCTTTGATTGCTGATTCGTCAGCTGTAGGTTTAGGACGGGATTTTTCGTCACGTCTCCATTCAGCTCTGCCAGAAATTGCACGGGGCGCAGATCTGGTCTGATCTGCAATGGCTTCTTCACTGCTGTGCGCCGTTGGGTGTTTGTTGGTCGGGGTTTTCATTCCGTTGCTATCCTGTGGCCAGCCAGTCTCGTTCTCTAAGGCAGTTTCGCTCGCCTGAACTTGTTTGTTCAACACTTCATCACTTGATAAAATTAGCGATGGGATAGGTCTAAGTTGCCCAAGGTCTTCGTTTAGGCCCGTATTTGACGCCTGCCCACTGGCTATGGCGGTACCAATGGATGAATCAGGTATAGGACGGGCAAGAGGAGTTGTCGCGCCAGAGTTAGGTTCTGGACTTAGGGTCATAAGTCTTTGAGAATCTCCGTCAACGACGCCCTTGAATATTCGATTCTTGGCCTTGTCGGGAATAGATGGGTCAAGTTTTAACATGTTAGTACTACTACCACGGCTGCCAATTTTAGGTGGCGCTTTGGAGGTACTGTTTTGCTTCAATTCAAGTTGGCGCTGCTTATGCTGATTGAGCAGCTCCTGCGATATGGCATATCTTACAATCCGCCAAGTCTGTGCCAATCGCCCGAAGCGGACAGCCGCAGCCTGCATGGTATTCTCATCAAGGCCGTCAAGAAGATACTTGACTACTTCAACTGACATATTGCGTTCGTTGAGAGGATCTGCCAGCAACGGCGAATAATGATGTACCAAATAATGAAAGGCACCTGGGTCGAATGTTGCTCCCTCAACACGTCCTATCATGCCGTCCTGATGATTGGTGTTATCTTTAATATTACCAACCGATTTGACGAGTGGGACCACTTGTAGCTCGTCATCCTGCATGGGAGGAGTGGCACTAAGCGATTTGGAGCTCCTTGTCGATGTTATCTTGTTAGAACGTTTCCGAAGCCCGATCATCTGGGGGGCCTCCTCGGGAGCCTCATCAGTGAGACTGTGACTGGCAGTAGGTAGCTTATCGTCACCTTCTCTGCCCTTCCGCGGAATGGGCACGGGTATAGATTCCACGGTTTCTGTATTACTATAATTAAAACTTTGCTTGTGCCTTCTATGGCGCGGCTCGAAGAACGCGAGAACTTTCCCGTCAGGACTCCATGTAATTGCGCATGGCGATCTTCGCTCTATGGCATCAGGGGCCAGGCTGATATCGGTCTGCATGAATATTCCCTCTGAGCTGACGGTCCATAGATAATCCTGGGAATGCCATAGTAAATCTGTTGCCGAGTTAGAGTAACGGTCGATTTCCTTGTATGGGATATGTGGTCTTCTGAAGTCCCAGATGTGGATACGGGGGTCTTCCTGATCGTATGATGTAACAATTTGGGTAGATTCCCAGCTGGCAGTCTCATAATCATGACCTGTCAACGACGGTGGCCGCCAGCGCGCATTTAGGACAGCCTGAGGCGTTCTCAACTGTAGACATGGTTTCTGCCTTCTGTCTGTTGAAGAAAAATTCCACACTTTCACCTGGCGATCCACGCTACCGCTAAGGAGATGTTTACCATCAGGATGCCAGTCCACGGACGAACATGCCTTTTCATGAGCATTTATCCGTATTATGGGTACGTTATCCTTGCGAATGTCCCATCGTTGGATAACACCACTATCAGTAGCCGTGGCAAACTCTACAGGTTCAGCAGGCGACCACCTAATATCACGTACAGCCTCGCTGTGCCCGTTGAATATGTTTGTGCTCCCGATGTGCATGGAAGCTCTATCACTGGACACCGTGCGTAAATCCCATAGCCTCACAGTGGCGTCCTGGCTTCCAGAGAGCAACCATGCACCACGGTACGGGCTGAAGGCGAGTCGATGGACCTGCCGAGAATGTTCATGGAACCGGCCATATTCCACTCCGGGGCGACTCAGGTCATAAATAACGATACGCCCATTGCTAGTTGCGGTGGCAATGATTCGGTTATACTCCGAATGAGACCACTTTACATCCTTGGTAGCTAGATGTTCCTTGTTCTTGCTAGATGTTCCAGACGGGTGGTGGCCATGGCCGATCACAGCGGATCGGACGTTTGTTTCTTCAGTACACTGTGAAGATGTGACTCGTATCGTTCTAAGAATCTCTCGTCCGGCAACAATGGCGTGAGTACGCTGCGGGGAGATATCGACAGCTGAGATTGGGATTCCTGTCTTATGCGTGATGATCGGTGCGCTGCCAGGACTAAAAATAGATTCATAAGCTTGCTGTTTGCTGATTGGAACATAACTTCCTTTCCCCCCTCCTCCTCAAGCACTGTGTACTGTTACGCTCTTGACAAGCGAACAGATCTAAGACATCTGGACTTACGGGGAGATGGTATAGCTGGGCCTGGTCACTAGGGCGGGAGGTGGTGTAGGGACTGGCAGTGGAGAAGTGGGCTGTGGGCTTGGGGGCCTGGAACCGTAGATGAATGGGTGAGCGAGCCGCGCAAGAGCACTGGTAGCCCTGTTTGCATAGCGCTGGGGTGGTAATGGAGGCGCTGGAGGAGGTGGAGGAGGTAGAGGCGGTGGTGGAGGGGGAGCAGCAGCAGCAGGAGCAGCAATGCCAGAGCCGTGGCCGCGCGGTGAATCGGCCATGGTGGTGTGTAGGGGACGGAGAAGCAGAGCTCAGATCGGCGCCGCTCGATCTGCTGACGTCTGGTGATCCATCGTCTGCTCGCCTTCGGGAACAAGGTGGTGGCCAGGGATCGTGATCGCGATCGTGATCTCAGCTTGAGAGCTCTCGCTGACTTTCTTCGATGTCTCTTTTTTGCTTCTTTCGGGGTTAGCGCCACGTGACCCCTTCCTAACCTTCCTTCGATTTGGAATCTTCCTTGGTCAACAAGCCGCAAGGTTGTTTTGTTACGATGATACCCAAGTAGATTCCATGTATAGAAGAAGGGGGTAATACATAGTATGTTGCGTGATGGTATGGGTACTTACGCTACTGTCTCGGCGACTGCTTGACGCATGGGAGCTACAGCATCCGTAGGCACAGTTTGCATAGAAAGAGGCTCTGCCATTGGATCTTAGCATGCAATTTGATAAGGGCCAGGGGGTACACCCAAGGAGAGTAACGTTATGGTTGGGATTGAAATCCTGTTCAAATCACCAGACACATATACCAGGAAGAGCGGAGGATATCATATTATATTATGGGATATATCGAACCGCTGTATTTGCCCAAACCTCCGTGGCTTGTGTAGCTTAATTCAACAATGAGATGCATGGCCCCCGAGTATAGAAGCTTAGGCAGCATCGAAGGAAACAGTATAATGCTTAGAGAAAGCAGAAACAGGTACACAAAACTAATACAAGGGGGCTTCTTCAGTCGGGGGCTTAGCGAGCGGCTTCAGAATGGTGTCACGGAGCCACGGCCAGTAGACACTTAGGCCCCAGGCCTTCATCTCTTGGAGCACGGATGAAAGCTCTAAGACGCCCTTGGAGGTCAGTGTGTCCCCCATACCCATTGGGCCGTAAAGAGTCTGCCCAGAGAGGTACCAGTGATTAGCCGCACGTAAGAAGTTCTTTCAAGTGCATCATGTGGGAATACAACTTACCACGTTGCCATCTTCGACTTTTGTGGCCACAAAAAGATACCAAGTGTGGCCCACAACGCTGATTCCAAAGATTGGGAGGATGCCGCACTTCTGCCAGGCTGGCTGGCACGCCGTTCCTGCGAGTTGTTGGAGCTGTGTGGTCTTCTCAAGACCGGCCGCCATCCAGGTTGCCAGCTGAACCATCGAAGAGTACAAACTCCCGTCTGGAGACTTCGCTTCGACTGCCACAAAATGGGACTGGTATCCCTGTATAGCATCCTCGGTTTGAGAAAGAGGAAGGTCTGGTCGGATTCTCATAATTGCTGTAATGAACTCGTCAATTTCATGATGTTGGTTCTGGAATGAGATAAGCCAGTCGACTTTCTTGAATGCGATGTGATGGTCGATGCTTGGCAGTAATGACGCTGGTCCGATGGATACCGACTGGCTATATGGGATAACTTGTTAGTCACCCAGTACATATAAACTATCGACCGCTCAAATGGTGGAGGCCTACACATTGGACACTTCCAGGATGTTGTCTTCCCCCTGGCCTACAACTGCTCGTAGAATGCTTTGAATCGCTTCTGACCAGCCGCCCTCGTCCTCAAAGCGGGCATAGGCTCTATGTGCTCTTTTATAAGCCCCCATTAACGCGATTAAGAGTTCATCATCTTGAGGAGACGGGGCTGAGGCCACTTCGTCGGCGTTGTTTATCTTCAGGGAGAGATCTTCATTTGGGTATCGGGCCCTCAGCCGGGCCCTACGTTCAAGTGTCAGATCGGTCTAGATTTATATCAAAAGGGTATATAGTATATACTTACGCCATCCAACTAGGGATGGGCGCCATCTTGCTGCTGACGAAGTTCCCAAAGAGCTCCTTTACAACCACTGGGGTTTCACCAGTACTAAACGGCTGAAATCTCACGAATGGCCTAGCATAATGTAGTCGCACTAGCTGAACTCGCGAAGGGGTACTTTTTCGTGAAGCTCCAGAGATCGGTATGTTACTTCCGCTGCCGATCAGATTAGCCCCTTTTTGTCTCCTATTGGCGCTGTTCTAAGTGGTATTGCCTTGTAATTCCTACCTTGGGCCAGAGCGGAAGATATCATCGTTCTCTAGATCAGCTATCCTATCGCCATGATTGCCTTTTATGCCTGAGCTGGCCTGGGATGAAATTGCCTCATCAGGGTGTATAGCAGGTTTGGCTACCCTCTTGACTTTACGAGATGGCATAATTCTGGGTGGAGGTCCTCTAGATGCCTTAGCCTTTGCCTTCTTGTTGGACTCCATCTTGTTCGCGGGCCGTGGTGGTGAATGTTGTTTCCGGCGTGTTGGTTTTGAAAGCTGCTGCCCCCTAGGCGAGGAGTCTGTGTGATTCTTTGTAGTCTTCCCTCGCTTAGCGCCATTTGCTTCTAAGTGTGAATGACATTTGCGCTTTGAGGGATACTGTGGAATCTCGACTCCTTTCAGCCACTGATTGATGGACTCAGTCTTGGAAGTGCTGAGATAACGGCTACGGCTCATCTTTTAATGGTATGTACAGCTTCCTTGCACTCTTTCTAATGTGCCGAGCGAGTCCAATATGTAAGGTTGACTTCTACAGTGTTTTCATGTATAGAAGCGTTATTACAACTTGCGAAGAGAATGTGTCATGTAGGCTGATATGCCTAGAACACATGGATTCTGTTCCAATCCCGGATAGAAGCATCGAAAGGATGCAAGTGATATTTTGGATATAGATCGATGGCATCTCCAGCAGACGAAGTCGAGATCCCGCCCCATGAGATGTCACATGACATCATTTATCATGTGACACAAATGTTGTAGGAGTTGAGATTTTCTGTTGAACGTCAAAAGAAACGCTGGTCGAAGACGAGATAACCCCAGGCATGTTTCTGAAAGGGGCATATTTAGGCGTTGAATAGGCATCATCAGCGTTACTCGAGCCTCGGGAGGGTGAGAGGTTGAACCAATGGTTCCCAGACCGCTTCGAGCTATTCTTGCGGTGACTGATGTGTGCTGCCGTTTCGTGGCATGTGGCCAGCGACGGTTTTCGCGGCACGGATAACGACAAAGGAGAGCTGGGATGGGAATAAGACAGCTCTTCTCCTTGTGTTCTCGCCCGGAAGCGGCCCGCCAGGGGAACGGGTGTGATGGTGCTGTTTTATTTAGATAGAGGATGTTCGTATCGTGAGTGGGGGGCAGAGAGAGAAATCGGCAGACTTATATATAGCCGAGAAAAAGAGTGAACATTATTAAATGACTGCCATGGGTAGCGTGGTCATTTTTATACATTTTTATATATATAAGTAGGTTCTTGATTCCCGATCCCGCTAAAAGGGAGGAGGGAAGCAGAAGAAGACAAGAGATCCATGGCCACGCTACTGGTTTCAAGGGAGATCTCGGATGAGCCGTTTTGCCAGAAAGACAGGTATCCATACTATATGTAACTCGAGCACAAAAAGGAAAAACCAAAAAAAAAAAAAGAAATCCTCCCCTGTCATCACATGTGGCAGAAGAAAGGAAAAGAAAAGAAAAGTCCTGGCCCTGTTCAAAGAAGTCCAAAACTTGGAAGCGTCCAGTGACAGACGGCCGTTCATGACTTGTCGCGATCCTGCATATGTATGCTGCAAGCGCCGTTCCCACCTGCAGCAGAACCAAGAGCAGAGGCTTTTCCCTGGTCCAGACCAACGGAGAATGCCAGCAAACCATTTGCTCCCTTTCTGCTCGATGTACGGCGAGAGCAAGGTACCGGGTACATGGATACGATACGGGGCGGCCAGCAGGCCCTGAGGTAGAAGATACCTACCCCTGATTTAGACGTATACTTTTTCCATGCAACTTGGGTATAGCTTTTTCTGCTTGTTGATTAGAGTATACGCACGCAGGAAAAGGAAAAAAGAAAAAAAAAAGAAAGAGAAAATCAAGGACCCCCTTCACCGACTTGTCTCCTCGCTTCACCGCTTGGAAGGGAGAGAGAGAAGAAGGAGAGAGAAAGCGAAGGGGTAAAGGCTTTCTTGTGGCGGGCGGGAGAGTAAGTAAAACATGGGGATATAAGACAAGAAGGGTTAAAGCCGGAGGTCGAAGTACTGCTCTGTAGCTACAGAGAAGAAGAAGTTTGTATAGTTACTAGTTGATTAGTTTAGTTAATTACATATAGTCTTGTGAAAGAAAAGTCCCGAGTCATCTGGCAGAAGTTGGTTACTTCGACCTTGCCACCCAGCTTGTCTCTTCCTCTAGTTAGCTTCGTCCTCTTAACTCTGCTTCCGCCGGAGCACCCTAAAAAAGGACAAAAAAGACTCAAGAAGAAGAAATAAAGATGTTCCCGTGGCCGGTCAAGGCGATCTTCTAAAAAAGCACCGCAGAACTTCGCCTCTCTCAACGTTTTTTCTCTCTCTTCTTCTTCTTCCGGTTCTTCTTCTTTCTCTTCTCAGCCAACTCGATCAACTGCAAGTATCCGGCGTCACCGTCACACCAGGCCCTATCAGCAGCTCCGGATTCGACGCATCCTTTCGGCCTGGTACTTTTTTTTTTGTGCCTAGTTACTTCGCGGCATCTCCAATTTGCTGCCTTTGTTCGGGCCTTCTGGTGGTACCTTTTTGCCTCGTCCTGCTTGCTCTCTCTCTCTCTTTTTTTTCTCTTCTTCTCTTATTTCTCTCCTCTCTCTCCTCCACGGCCGACTTCTTTTCCGCAGCTTGTAAGCTCTCTCCATCCATCGCCCAAAAAAATTAAACGTCCCTCACTCTCCTCCCTCCACCCCCCACCTGCCGCGTAAACTGTACCGGCTTTTTCCATTTTTTCCGTCTCTCCCCCGTCGGTTCGCTCTCTTCTCTCTCTTCGTGGACTAATATCTTCTTTTGGAAGCTTCCAACGTCTCTCTTGCAGCTTGCTTCGCCGTCGTGTCCTCTCTCCTCTCCCCAGTCCGCTCGCTTTCTCCATCTTCCATCATTGTTTCGCTTCTCCTCTCCAAAGCGTTCTTCTTCTCCCCTTAGAACATCATCTTCGCTGGAGCTTCCTGGGACGAACCGCAGATAATAGCTTCGATACAGCAGGCCTTCTTTGACATGAACATTAATCAATTGAAGTAATTTCCCTTCCCCCCTCCCCCCCGCGTTCAGCAAACCGGCCGTCGAAACCTCCCCCCCAAGGTTATGGATTCCGTCAGCATCGACGGCCTGGGGCTGGCCGCTCATCCGATGCAGCCTATCAGGCGTGCCCTAGACGCTCTTCATAACTTCTCCCCAGTCATCCTATTCGTTGTCTTTGCTGTGTCCTTTGTGGTCAACACCGTCATTGCAAACCGGAAAATTGAGCCTTCGGTGCAGCACCAGAAGGGAGCAAGAACCGGTCCAGGAGGTAGACCGCTGCCAACTCGCATGAGGAGTACGGCCGTGCTGATTGCCCGCAAAACTCCTGATTTCTCTCCTACAACAAAGCTAGTTTTTAAATGGCTGGCAGTGGGTGTCTTGTTCAGCTTCATTGCTGAAGCAGCTATTGATGTAGCACACATTATCCTTCATCGCAAGGAACATTGGTGGTGTGGTCAATCAGTCGTAGTGAGTTCAAGCTTATTTTTTTTTTCCCTACTGTTTTAAAGGCGGCATGCTTAGTCGTGCATGTCTTTAATGCTATGACCGCGCTCGCTAAGCAAAAGATAAAATAAAAACATCCAGGTTCATGTGGTTGGCACTTTCTTTGTTCATACTCTGGTGCTGATATCACTTATCGATACCACACCTGCACCGACAGTGGCACAGCTCATCACCTGGATAGTCTCTATGCTGCTGGAGTTGGTGATACTGGCCCTGTTTCTCGATATCAACACCTCCCCGCACCACGAACCGGTTGTTGGTGACCCTCTCGGTGGTCCGCTCCGGAAGGGCCTAACAACCTGGGAGTCTGGCCTGGTGCTTACAGCCAGCGCTCGTATCTTGCTTCTCCTCTGTCTTGTTGTTGTCTACGGCCTCGCCTCCTACGGCTTGAGAAGCAGCAGCCATACCGGCAACGCCACGGAGACGACGTCTCTCCTACACTCCAGCAATGGCACGACACACGCCAATGGTGATCGTTACGGTGCATCTCATCGAAATTTAAAGCACGAGGATGACGATCAACCAGAGGAGGACGGATGGGTACGGCCAAAGACGCTTCCATCCACCAGCTGGTGGGAATATATGAGTGGCTACTCGCTCTTCTTCCCCTACCTCTGGCCATCCAGATCTAACAAGCTGAAATCCATCGTCGTTTTCTGCTTTATCCTTGTCGTTCTCCAGAGAGGCGTTAACCTTGGTGTGCCTGTTCTCGTTCGTAACATCGTCAATATCCTGGCACAGGAGCATGGAAACGAATTCTACGTTCCATGGGGTACCATATGCCTCTATGTCCTCTTCCGTGTACTCCAAGGTTCTCAGGGCTTGATCGGATCCCTGCGTTCCTTCCTATGGATCCCTGTCGGCCAGTACTCGTACATGGAGCTATCAACCGCCGCCTTTGAACATGTTCACAGTCTCAGTCTCGACTTCCACCTCGGCAAGAAGACCGGAGAGGTGCTGTCGGCACTGGGAAAAGGTAGCTCTATCAACGGATTCCTTGAACAAGTCACGTTCCAGGTTGTGCCGATGTTAGTTGACATGTGCATTGCCGTTGGCTACTTCTTCGTTGAGTTTGATGTCTACTACGCTCTAGTCGTAGGCATCATTACTTTCCTATACCTTTACGTGACCATCCGCATGACCAGTGGAGAGTGAGTACGTCGTATGATGACCAATGCTGATCGCCAGCAGGATGCTGTCAAGTAAGTCTCCTCCCATGCATTTTTATATTTCATACCCTGACGGAAGCACCCTACATTTTTCATTTTCCCCTGCTAACTATCCGTATAGAAATGACTCAATGGTATCATATGAAACGGTCAAATACTTCAATGCTGAACCATACGAGTTCAACCGATACCGTGGGGCCGTTTCTGATTACCAAGCCGCCGAATACCATGTCCTCTTTTCTCTCCAGCTGATGAATACCTGCCAGAACACTGTTTTCATGCTGGGTCTCCTCATCACTTGCTTCATTTGTGCTTTCCAGATCGCAAATGGCCAGAGGGATGTCGGCCAGTTCGTCGGCCTACTCACTTACATGTCCCAACTCCAAGGTCCTCTTAATTTCTTCGGTACTTTCTACCGTTCAATCCAAGGAGCCATGATTAACTCGGAACGATTGCTGGAGCTGTTCAGAGCGAAGCCAACTGTTGTTGACGCACCTGATGTCAAAGAACTCCGCTCCTGCAAGGGCGGAATTGAGTTCGACAAGGTCCATTTCGCGTATGATAGCCGCAAGCCAGCTTTGAACGGACTATCCTTTGAGTGTAAACCTGGAACAACCACGGCTCTTGTAGGAGAGTCTGGCGGTGGAAAGTCCACTGTCTTCCGTCTCCTATTCCGCTTCTACAACTCTATTTCTGGCCAAATCCGCGTGGACGGTCACCCGGTCGAGAGTGTCTCTATCGACTCGCTCCGCCGCCACATTGGTGTTGTTCCGCAAGATACTGTCTTGTTCAACGAGACTCTTATGTACAACCTGAAATACGCTAACCCTGATGCTACTGATGAAGATATATACGACGCCTGTCGTGCTGCCAGTATCCACGACAGAATTCTTACATTCCCTGATGGTTACCAAACTAAAGTTGGAGAACGTGGTCTCAGGCTAAGTGGCGGAGAGAAACAGCGAGTCGCGATTGCTAGAACTATCATCAAAAATCCACGTATAATCCTTCTGGACGAGGCCACTGCTGCTCTTGATACGGATACCGAAGAACACATCCAAGAGGCGTTAGCTACCCTATCAAAGGGCCGAACCATGCTCGTTATTGCTCATCGTCTGAGCACAATTACCACCGCTGATCAGATTCTTGTCTTACAAAATGGGCAGGTTGCCGAGAAGGGCACACATGAACAGCTTTTAGCTATGAAAGGCCGTTATTCGAGCATGTGGCGCAAGCAAATCAAGGCTCAGCGAGCCGCCGCTGAAGCGCAAGTGTTGCAAGACCGCGCGGAACGACTCCGAAGCAGCTCTGTGGTCGTTGGTGGTGGTAGCGAGGATAGCTCTAGCCAGTCTGACGAAGACAGGCATGTGGATTCCTCTGGTCGCCCACGTCAGTCCCTTACACATCGTTCTACCAAGGCCTCTGAAACGAAGCCTACCGGCCCTTAAATTTGTTTCGGAGCCAGAAAGCTTATCCAGACGGACAAACTAAACGGCCTGGCAGGCCTCTGCTAAGATTCCAAAAGTGGCCCATCACCGCGCCGCGTTACTAAATCCCATTATTCGAACCGCCATGGTTTATTGGTGTCTAGCGAAACTAGACTGCAATAAAGAGATCCCAAACTACACCAATTCCCATTCTCCCTTGTATTCCCTTTATTTTTTTTTATTACATTTTACTCAAGAGCTCTGACGACGTACACGGCCTCGCACTAACCTAAGTATCACGGCTACAAACCAAGGGGATTGGAGGCATCGAGACTTGATATCATTTCCTGGAGTTTGCAGTTAAGATGTGGGTTTCCTATGGCGCAAGCGGTTTATTTGCAAACACCCTTATTCGATCCGATGCATAAATTCCTTTCTAGCCTTTAATCCCCTGCTCTTATATCCTTCTCCGCTGTGTTTTCTGCAACTCATCACCTATTAACTTATCACCTCTTATGATTTTACAACTCTTTTTTCTTCGGGCGGCATAATTGCTTATTAATGGTAATGTCCTTTTTTATTATTTATTATTTCTTTATTTTCATTTTCTCGCTCTTCTCTTTCTCTGAAGAGCAGGGCACTTCCCTCCTCTTTTCCCGGGCTGGTAAACAAAAAGGCGAGGCATGGTAGAAAAACTAGAGATGTGGCTAGAGTCATTTCGGTGGCTACTTAGCTTCTGGCTATTATAGAACGGATAAAAAGCATTGATATCACTGAAATATAAGTTTGTATTCGACTGTTGACTTTGCTGATGTAGTTAAAAAAGTCTACAAAGTAGTCGAAGGAAATGATATAAGATGCCAAGACTCTGCATCGTCAACTTTGAAAAATGCACCAACCGATTTTTGAGATCTACAAACGTCAAGTCGGGCATTGAACGTTGCGGCTTTCACCTTTGCACAAGTCATATCATATGCCTGTCGCCATGCATCCACCATCTACCTTACTCCTCCGCTCTCTTCGGACCTCTATCTCCAAAACCTTTTTCACAACCCCATCGTCATACGGTTTGCTCCAGCCGGCGACACAATGCCCTCTCAAGCGCATACCACCCAGTATCCGCACCTATGCCAGTGATAGAAACAATGCCAATTCCAGCATTCGTGTCCAGCCTACCGCCCAACCTCGACCGCGCCGTACAACCCTATCGTCAGCAGATCTAAAGCCCAAATCAAACTACCGTGGTCCACCACGCGAGGAAGCAGATACAAAACACATGACGGATCTGAATTCACTGGATATCCTGTCTGGTATAGCTGTGCCTGCAACGGCTATCGACGCCTGTCACCATGACGGATTCCAGTTGAACAACGGAGTGAGAATTGCAGATGGAAATGGGTGTTTATTGGTTGATGGAGAAGTGTTTGTCTGGAGACCGTGGGAGGCAGGGAGTAGCGGTGCGGCAGGTAAGACGAAGAACTTTGTCAATGAGAAAGGTCAATGGGAGGTGCCGGAGGGTGCTTGGGGTGCTTTACGACTATTGTGGCCGAAACCTGGTATGTTTTACTATATTTTTGTGGACTGCATGTATATTATACGCGGATTTGTGCTAATTTTTTTTCATCACGGTTTAGATCTTTTGATCCTGGGACTGGGCCCCACGATGCGCCCCATCTCGCCTGAGACAAGGAGACATATTAATGAATTAGGTATAAGAGTCGAGGTTCAAGATACGAGAAACGCAGCGGCGCAGTTCAATCTGCTGGCAACAGAGAGAGGCGTCCAAGAAGTTGCAGCTGCCTTGATACCTATTGGGTAGGTGATGACGTCGCCATGTATTTTATATACAAAGAATTCTGGCAAATGCTCTTGTAATTTAGTGATGTGTATTATAGGATAAAATATGAATAACGTCTTCTGTGCTGTATATATCACTGTCCCATAAAGTCTCTCGTTCATGCTTGTACTTTTGTTGCCCCTGTACCTTTCACGTGACCCGGCTTCTCCGATCTGATCTCAAACTTGAGATTTCCCCAGCTTTCGGCAAAGAAGGCTTGCAAGGGGCTTACAAGTACACAAACCACAGCTTGTATCCCATATATCACCACTCCTATGCCAGGGCCTCTGTGAGCTTTCTTTCTCACGTACATTTATTATACTCGGGCCCGCGCTGGCTCATCCACGATGGCGTCTCGAGACCCTCGCCCGTCGAATGACACGGATCGAAACGATGAAGAGTCGACCCTTCTGACCGGAGAACGGGTTAGCCGTAACATCGACGATGATTCCCGTCGTGGCCCTCATTTTTGGCGTCAGGTCGGGCTGTTCACCTGGGCTCTCGTTGCTACCGCCGCCGTCATTGTCTTAGCGATCGTTTACCAGCATGATCACTCGGTCGCCAAAGACCCCCATAGAGCCAGACATGCCGGGAAGAGGAACATGATATTCATGGTGTCAGATGGAATGGGGCCTACCAGTTTATCTATGACTCGATCGTTCAGACAATACGTTGACAAGCTCCCTATCGATAACACCCTTACTCTGGACAAACACCACATCGGGTCTTCGAGAACGAGGTCCTCCAGCAGCCTGGTGACCGACTCGGCTGCCGGTGCTACCGCTTTTGCATGTGCAAAGAAGAGTTATAACGGTGCTATTTCGGTTCTTCCCGACCACAGCCCTTGTGGAACAGTCCTGGAGGCCGCAAAGGCTGCCGGTTATATGACGGGCCTGGTTGTTACTACACGAATCACAGATGCCACCCCAGCTTGCTTCTCTTCACACGTAAACATCCGTGGCTATGAAGATTTGATTGCCGAGCACCAGCTTGGTGAATATCCTCTTGGTGTGCAAGTCGATCTTCTCATGGGAGGAGGTAGATGCCACTTCCTACCCAACTCCACCTCTGGATCTTGCCGTGCAGACGATAAGGATTTGATCAAGCTTGCCAAGTCCAAGGGTTTCCACTACTTTGACGACCGCAAAGGATTCGATGCCCTGGAGGAGGGCAAAGCCGCGAAACTACCATTGCTTGGACTTGTGGCTCCTACTGATATCCCGTATGAAATCGACCGTCGTTTCCGTAATAAGGAGTTCCCATCCTTGGAGGAGATGACTCGGACCGCACTTAGAACATTGAGCGATGCAACTAAGAATAGCGAGCATGGCTTCTTCATCATGATTGAAGGTTCGCGAATTGACCACGCCGGCCACGGTAACGACCCGGCTGCCCAGGTCCACGAAGTTTTGGCATACGATAAAGCATTTGCTGCTGTTCTGGAATTCCTTGAAAAAGACTCTACCCCTGGTGTTCTTGTCAGTACATCCGACCATGAAACTGGCGGTTTGGCCGCCGCAAGACAGCTCCATGAGACCTACCCCGACTACCTCTGGCTACCCGATGCGCTTGCAAATGCCACCCATTCCTCTGAGTATCTTGAACCCAAACTGAATGCCTACCTTCAGGGACAAGGCCACGACCAATCCCAATCTAAGAAACGTTCATACATTCGTGAAGAGCTCATTAAACCTAGTCTCGGCATTTTCGATACAACTGATGCCGAGATTGATCGCCTTATTGATAACACAGGTAACCCAGCCGCATATCTCTTTGCCGATCTTATCAGTCGCAGAGCTCAAATTGGCTGGAGTACCCACGGCCACTCAGCTGCTGATGTTAGCATCTTTGCCTCGTCTCCTCACGATGCTCTTCCATTGGTCGGTAACCATGAAAACACGGAAGTAGGAGAATTCATCGCCTCTTATCTCAGTCTAGACCTAGACGCAATCACCCAGAAATTGAAGGGTGTGAAGACCAAACCCTCTACTACCAGTGAAGGTTCTACCCCTGATTACTCGTGGATGGGTAAGCCACTCAATGATATGGTTGTTGATGAGCTAGATACCTACCACGGTGATTTTAAGCGCCGCCTAAGAAGGCGAGGTCCTGATGAACTCGCTCATGAAAAACGATCCAACTGTGGATGTGAAAACCACTAATACGCTGCTTCACTGCTGCCCTTTCGTTTTTCGGTTTCTTTTCTGGTCTCATCCACTCGTGTACCTCTTTTGCATTCCAGTTGCTATAGTTTTTCGTCATATTATGTACATGTTCGGTCAGACTATTGTCTATTAGCCCCGGGTCTTCCTTAGTTATACGTGTTGTAGACTATTTTATTTCTCTAGTTGGTTTGTTAACTGTTCCTTAGATCATTTTCGACAGTCTATACCTAAGAATACTAATAGCAATATCTAGACGAGGCCTAATCCATTTTATCTAGTTCGTATATCCATACCTATGGAGTCGATGTATTTTAAAATAGCCAGCCATAGCTCTGATCTATAGACATGGGTTCCAGTATGCCAGCCCTTCAGAAATACGAAGATTGGCATTCAATAAAAGCAAGCTGCCTCCAAGCCTTGACCGCAGAAATGCATCTACCAAAGTGCCACCGTGACATGAGACAGAAAAAGCCACCCAACCAGCCAAATGCCCTCCATATACGCGTTATCAATCCTTGACTCTATAGTATCCTGTTCTCACTCCTAAACCATAACTGGAGACCTTCTCGGCATGAATCGCAGGCATAGCCTCTTTCCTCTACACTGACAATACTATTCTCTGTTGGAGCGCAATCGTGGTCCTCATGAAAGGGGATGTCGAACCAGGCACGTTGATACGGGTCATTTATCCGGGATAGCTGGCGGTAAATAGCAGCACAGAAGCTGAGGATAGATATCCCAGAATGCTGGCAGGTGAATACTATCATGTGGTATCGACACATTGTATCTAGGCAGGGTCAAATAAAATATCAGCATGGGCCGGGGTCTTTGAAGCAGAAAAACAAGGCCATACTTGTCGTTCAAGGTGATATAGGCTCTCTCCTAAGAGAGCTATATAATCTCCAAAAGGATGCTGCTGTCCTTAAGCAGAATTCCTGTTTCCCACCCCCTATCCTGTTTCCGCTTTCCTATCGGCAGGGGGGAAGTCAGCTTTCTTCTGTACAGCAAGCCAGAAACTGCAGTCAACTTACAAAGTTGAAGAGAAGGCCCTAGGTCTTCCTATTTCGATTAGTATGTGAATAGACAACATGTGTGTCAAGTGTAGAGGACATAGGGCAAAAAGAAGGAAGGTATTAATTTATACTAGCCAACACCTGTTCTAGCTGCAGCTCAGTAAACTCAGAGATATGAATGAATCGGAAAACTAGCTTAGAGAACAACACAATATTCCAGTATGCTGGCTTATTGGCCCCAGCATAGGCCAGGAAGCTGTTTGCTTAGCTAGTTACTTAAAGGTCTTTGCTTGATCTATGCCAATCCAACAGAAACCCATTGTATAAAGCTCCTTCTGGACAGCCAGCATAGACAGCACTCAGCCCAGGTACAGTGCAGAAGACTGAAAAGTAAGGGGTCATAAAGAAAGGACAAATTGCTGTGCCTGTTGAGATATTGGCTATTTCAAACCTGGCTAGGCAACATGGTAGCAACAACAATTTGATAAAGGAGCTTCTTTCACATCGTGGAATAGACAGTGCAATAGAGATGGATATTAACAGCAAGACAGAGAGGCTAGTATTATCGTGCCCTTCGGCACTCTTTTCCAAGAGATGGAAGCTAAGAATTTCCGCTTTTCAAATATTTTCTTCCATAGTAAATAAGCAGGCAAACAAGGGCTGTCAAAACAACCATTTATGCAATCCGCCTTAGGCGTAGAGACTCTGATCATGCAAACAATTTTCCTTTTACATGTCTAGAGCAAAGAATTTCAGCCTGCAGTGGTCTTTTGGGGTAACATCTGGAAAAGGCAGCTATTGGTGTCTAGCTGTCTTCATAAAGAGGGCTTCTTGTTTTGTTATATTGTAACTTGGTACCCTATAGTGAATATAACGGTTGATAACATTTCACATGTAAGAAAACCTTACGACAAGCCATAGAAAGCTTCTTTGCGCTCAAATGTATATGTAGAAGAAGTTGTTGGAAACTGGAGGATTTAGAGTTTATACAAGCAAAATAAACATTACATAGTAAGGAGCTAAGGTTATACTATGTACATCAAGAGGTTCCCTCGGCCATCACTAAACTGACAGTCAAGCGATGCATAACTGAGGTGGGATGAGGGGAGGAGGGTGACCGTAACCAAGATATTGGGTGCTATTTATAAGCGGGGATAAGATTAATAAAAAAAATAAACGGAGCCGGGACATAAAAACATTATTCACAAGAAGAAGGGGGGAGAAAGTGGAGGCCGAGACAAAGGCCATATTACAAAGTTACTAATGCCATAATGGCAACGAAGACCGCGAATAGCGAGCCATGGAGGACCTGGTCGCCGGGAGCAGAAGCACCGCTTGAGTTGCCGCCAATGTTGCCCTGGGAGAAGCCGGTCTGTTGGGGTGAAGAGGGGTTAGAGCCGCCGTTGCCGCCATTGCCGCCGTTACCATTGTTACCACTGTTTCCACCGTCACCTGGGCGTTTGCCGTCAAGACCGGGACCGGCGCCGCTAAGGCCAGGAATCACGGCCACTTCACTGGTTTGAGATGGAGCAGGTGATCCTTTGGTAGGGCTTGGATAGTCCTTGTCCATGTCCTTGCCGTTGCCCAAGAAGGACTTTAGAACAGTGTCATCGTTGGTGACCTTGACGGAGCCTTCGCTACCGCTGTCGTCGGTATAGATGTAAGACTTGCTACCTTCGACCTTGGCGCCCTTTGGGGGGTCGTAGCATTCAATGGAGACGGAATCAAAGGCTGCGTAGTAGTAACCATTTTTCTGAATATCTTCAGACTTCCAGTCCACGAGACCTCCGGCCCAGTTAATGGTACCTTCCCCGTTAGTGGATAGACCGGCAGGCCAAAGGGAGAGTTGGACACGGGCAGGTGTTGAAGGGTAGTTGTATTGGTGGGTGGTGTCGTTCATCGTGCTGTCACGCTTGAGGGTACGGATTACCATGCCATCGATACTCCAGGTGATTGATTCGGGCTTCCAATCAATCTCGTAGGTATGATAGTTATTAAAAGTATCCGAAAGTGACTGGTTCATTCCATGTGTGTCTGGGGGAAAAAAAGAATGTTAGCCAGAGGGAAAGATGATGGGTCATGTTGGCCAGAGGCACTTACAGTCGGTGATTCCCTGGTAATAGTAGTTGGTTTGTGCAGTGGACAGATCGGCGCCGACGAACTCGAAATCAATCTCATCCTTTGCATCAGACATTAAAATGAAAGCGGTCACGACACCACGCCCTCTGCTGGTCTTTAGCTTAGCGGTAGCCTTGCCATACCACATGTAGTGATTATGGCCTAGGAGGGTTCCAACAGTGCTTGGAGCCATAGTCAACAGCAGGTTACCGCCACTGGACTTGGGCTCTCCGCTGGAGACCCAATCCGCCTTGCTAGCGTCACCGAGATACTTGGTGTTGGGTGCAACGCTACTCAAATCATCCCAATTGTATGTCTTACTCTGACAGGCCGGCATTGGCACACAAGAGTCAACGGTGAAAGATGATTTCATATCACATCCTCCCAAGCAATAGGCACCAGAACCACATTCTCCGTACACTACACGTAAAAAGCAAAGAGAAAAAAAAAACCAACACGTTAGCAACAGTTAATATAGTCAACAGAAAGGGCCTTCCAACTTACAAGAACAGCACGGCGCAGAGCTAGGGCACTTCTGACTTGGGCTACATTTCTGTGAGGCACCGGCAGCCAACACAGATTGCGCAGAGAGTGCAATTGCAAGAGCAAAGGTGGCGAGGCGAGTCATACTGCGTAGCCCCCAACTCGATATATATATAGATATGACAAAGCCCGTATACAAATGGCAGTGTTTCAGGTATATCTCTCAAGCAACCAGAAAAGGGCCAAAAAAGAATATGAGATACCTGTGTATATATAATAATAAAATATGTATGATGGGTCACGAACAGGGTGTTTGGGGTTGCGCAGGGAGTAACGATCCACTTGAGAAGAAAAAGCAAGCACGAACGAGAGGAGATGGAAGAAAATTATATAGAACGAGAGATGGAGAGACGAAAAAGGAGTCCTTTGGAAGTAAACCTCGAAGGGAGAGCCAGAAGCGAGTGAACAAGCTCCTCTTGAGGGCGGACTTTTAGGGGCGGCACAAGGACTTATTAGAAGAATACGGACTTTCTAGGGGGAAGAAGAAAGTCAAGGAGAAGAAGTCGAGAAAAGGAAGAGAAAAAAGTGAGACAAAAGGCTACTTTGATCACGAGACCAGGTGGTGCCAGGGGCAAGACGCCTCGCACGAAACCCGAGGCTCTGATTGGCCATGGCTTGATTATATAATAGCCATGCGTCTTGTTAGCGGCTATTTAGCCTCAATGTTTGCTTTTTTGTTTATATCGTTCTTGTCTGTGTACATGAGGGGATAGGTACGGAGTATGGGGTAAGAAGATGACGAAGGGCCAATATCCGAACCGACCATGATCAGCAAACCTGAGACTGGAGAGATGGGAACTTTGGCATGCACGGTTCGGATGCATATGCCGCCGCTAGGAGACCAGGGGGCGACAGCGGCATGATCCTTCAGCCAGCGGTTCATGACGTATAAAAAGGCTGCTGCCTTGGAAGAAATACCAAGTTTCATCTAATATAAGAAAGGAAAGTCAGGACGGACATCATCTCCCTCTTTTAGCAGAAAAATACTTCCAGTATTAATAATAACTTGGAATAACTACGGAGTACTTGTAAATAAACATGACGTCCTCAGCAAGCCGCGAACCCTACAGGGGATCCTGTCGCTGCGGCCACATCCGCTACGTGGCCTACATCACCTTGCCTCCCGCCATCAGTCCCGAGGGCAAAGTCGACCGTTACTCCTCCGTCCACTTCTACAAGTGCAACTGCACCGCGTGCCTCAAGTTTGGCCTCTTCCACATGCGTCTGCCCAAGGCCACCGAAGACTTCTACCTCCTCTCCCCTCTCGAGCCGGAGAAGGAACTTACGGACTACAAGATCCTCGAGGCCGGATCTTCGTGGTATTTCTGCCCTACTTGTGGAGTACGCTGTTTCTCTTTTAGAGGGAAGGGCAAGGTGGAAGATGTCGAGCTCGAGGAGTGGGTTACAAAGCCGGCCGATATGACGGACACGAAGGCTGCTGCTGCTGCTGGAGGTGAAGGGTCGAAGAAGATCACAACAAAGGCATGGAGGATCGAGAAGGAGGGCTGGGACGAAGGGAAGAGAACCAGCTACCTTTCTATCAACGTGCAGACCCTTGAGCCGGAAGACGGGCTCGACCTCAGAGAGCTCGTCGACAAGAAGTGGCTCGGGTTCATTGACTGTCGTGAGTTCAAGGAGAAACAACGCTTCGACCGTCCACAGACAGGTGGTTCATGGTGATGATACCCATTTACGCCCCCAAAATCTTCCTTCACAGTGGTTTTTATTAAGTAGATCTATCTCTTGTCCCAATTAGGAAGGTCGACCATCCATACATTAATTATGTATCACGTGATATATACGTCGATCCATGAAATGAAACAAAAGTAGGGGCGTAAACTCATCCACCAACGAATACTTTTTCATAGAAAGCATAGTTTCCATGGAAACATTC